CTTAGGATGAACACTCCTTTCCTTCTGCCTGTTCGGAGTCGCATTTGGGGTTTCAGGTTCAGGTGCAAGCGTTGAGGCTCCGGTACTTGGAGGCTCATGGGACTTAGTAGTTCCTTTAAGGGTCTATACTAAAGGGATCCTTAAAGGGATCTATAAGGGTTCTACAATGGAGGATCATGGGACTTAGTAAGGTTATAAGTACCTTAATTGGGGTTGTAAGTATAGTTACCCTAATTATAACCCTAGTTACTAAGTCCGATGATCTTTTCAGTAATTTAGCAGGTCCATTGTCCGTTGCCAGCGCACGGCCAAGGCCACAAAAGGATTCAGGCCTCAAGAAGCCTCGAACTCTCAAAGGGGTTTGGGGCAAAAGTCACAGGTTAAGGGCTTGGCGTTTGGGGGCTTTGGGCTACATGGCCTAAAGATTTTTATCATATGCAGGCCAGAGAGCGCATCGAAGAAGTAGCGATTGTTGAGCCAGTCGGGTGGCTTCACATGCCTGGCATGACTAAGGTGGAAGAACGTTGGGCCTGACACGTGCGCGTGCAAAACTAATCCGACACTGTAGCTGCTGAAGACTTGATGACCGTTGGCTCGTTGGTTAATTCACAGGAACTTGAAGACCGCAAGACACACAGGCAGACAGACAAACAGACAGACAGCCTGGCAGACAGACAGACAGACATGGACAAAGCAAGGAGTACAGTAAACTTGCGGTCTTTGGCCTCGGGGAGCCTTCCAAGAAACCCCCTTTCAAACTCCGGGTGCAGGCCTTAGAAGGCCCTGCAAAAGGTGACACCGTTAAAGTTTCGGGTAAACCCGAAACTCTATACCGAAACACTTAGCCTCTGTACCCTAAACCCTATACCAATGAAACCGTAAATCCTGCACCCTGCGCTGCATATCCGAAACCCTGCATCATAAACCTATACATCAAACCCTGCACAAACCTCTTATCATATACACTAAACCCTACCTTGGTACCCCAAACCCAAGTAGGAACCCTTCTAGGCCTAGATTCTAGGCACCCTTGATTGTAATCAGTACTTTCTATATGCACCCCAAAGCCTCAAACCTAAACTCCAAACCCTAAACCCTCAACCCCAAACCTCAAACACCAAACCCAAAGCCCCAAACACTCAACCCCCAACCCCCAACCCCTAAACCCCTTATAGTAATTCCTACAGATCCCTTTAAACGCCTCTAAAGAAACCCTAAACCCCTAGGAGTAATCCTTATAGATCCCTCTAAACCCCTGTAAAGAAACCCTAAACCCTTATAGTAATCCTTATAGATCCCTCTAGACCCCTTTAAAGAAACCCTAAACTCAAACCCCAAACCCTAAACCGTTATAGTAATCCTTATAGATCCCTTTAAACCCTTTCAAGAAACCCTAAACTCAAACCCCAAACTCCCTCAACCCTTAAATAAAGGAACCCTTTAACAGAACCCTAAACCCTTAACCCTTGTAGTAACCCTAGCCCTAAACTCAAACCCAAAACCTCCCTCAACGGCGCCTCTCGATCTTCCGTGGCCGCCCTTCCCCGGCCTCCCATTGCCGGGGGGCGCTTGGTTTTAGAGTTCAGGCTTTAGGATTTAGGGGGTTTTAGGGTTTAAGGGTTTAAGGGTTTAGGGTTTAGGATTTAGGGGTTTTAGAGTTTAAGGGTTTAGAGTTTAGGGTTTAGGGGTTGAGGCTTTAGGATTTAAGGGTTTTAGAGTTTAGGGTTTAGGGTCCAGGCTTCAGGATTTAGAGGGTTTAAGAGAGTAAGGGGTTAGGGTTTAGGGTTTAGAGTTTAGGGGTTTAGGGGTTCTAGATTTTGAGGGTTTAGGGTTTAGCCAGTGGGGCTCGTGGTTTGGGACAAAGTTTGGGAGGTTGGCTGGCTGTTTTGCTTTGCCTGAATTCCGCTGATGGGCCGAGATAAATTTGGCAGGCCTAGGGTTTTGAGAGAGCTTGCTTGTTGAGCTCCTTTTTGCACTTGCCCTCGGGGTCCAGCAGTTACAAGGCTTTTTGTGGGTTTAGGGTTCGGGGTTGAGGGTTTAGGGGGTTTAGAGTTCAGGGGGTTTGGGGGGATTCAAGGGCCGAAGTAGAAGGTTGTGGGCTGTAGAGTGGTGCGGCTTTGGGGCTCTCTCGGGCTTCAGGAGTTCAGTTTTAGGGTTTGGGGTTTAGGGTACAGTTCTGCTGCTTTAGGGCCTTAGGTCCTAGGTCGTAGCTCTGGCACTGACCCGAAGCTCAGAAGGTAGACCAGGAATCCCATATTCAGCTCAAAACACCACCAAATCCTGTGCTCGATGCCGACGGGGTGAGGGGTCGGGAAGGGGTTTTTGGTGGTGGAGTTTTGGGGAGTGCAGAATGCAAACCCCACCCTCGTAGCCATGACCGAAAAGACCTAAACAAAGGAAGCACAAGGACCTACTGTGGGGGCCTTTATGATAAGAATGAGTATTCGATGTAACGTATAGCATGACTCGCATGACTATAAAAAACCCTCAAGCCTATGAATAGTACTGGACATTATTCAGGCTTCTATTGTAGGTTTCACCTTCACGAAGCTATGGCAGCCGTCAGCACCAACACTGCACCCCCGCTGAGCCCTGAACTTCGCAATGAAGCTCACATAGAACCCTTAACCTTAACCCTCATCAAACCGGTGATCTAGCTCTTCTCAACCTTACAAGAACTGTTACGTGAACCACTTACTTGGAAGTACATGGGTAGTTACAAGTGGGGCTTATGGGTGATAATTATGGTCACCACCACTTATAACGACCCATGAACCTCCAAGTATAGAACCCTTCATAGAACCCCTCCCTTCCCAGGCTGCCTGCGTAGCCATGTTGGAGAAGTCCACCACCTGTTCCGACACCAGTTGCTGCGAAGTTTGAAGAGTTCAGGGCTCAAGGGGTTGCAGGGTTTAGGGGTTCGAGGCTTGGGTTTAGGAGTTTTAGGGGTTCGAGGCTTGGGTTTAGGAGTTTTAGGGCTTAAAGTTTACGGCTTGGGGGGCAAAAAGAGCTGAGAGTTGAAGGCATTCAGAGTTTAGGGTCTAGGGTTTAAAGGCTTCGGGCTCAGGGTGCAAGTCTTGTGTCTTTGTCCGTCACCATCACCATCACCATCCCCCCCATCATCATCACTATCAACATCCACGTTTTGTCCGTTGCTCCTCTTGGGGGGGGGGGGGGTCTTGCCGGCTGCAGGACTGCTGGGTGGTAGGGTTTTCTTTTCAGGTTAAAGGAGCTGAGATATTGATCTCCATAGAACCCTTATAGTACCCTTGCAGATGCATTATAGTACCCGTAAAAAGGGGACCTTAAAACCCCTAAGAGGAGCTCATTGAGAACTTCGAGTTTAGGGCTTTAGGTTCGCCTTCGATGGCTGTGGGTCAAAGGCAACGGAAGCCCAGCGCAACGGTCGGGGGTAGTTATGAGTGGGGTGAGGAAATCCCCTAATATGGGTTACAATTATGGTTACCCTACTTATAACCCCACTTATAACTACCCATGAACCTCCAAGTGACCTAGGCAAGCCACCCTTGAAACCCCAAACCCTGTTCTCTAGGGGCCTTAATAATTAGAATAATGTTTCGGGATTTTGGGCCCCTATATTGACCGTCTTCTCTGTCTCCGCGGCTCAACGCAAAGAAAAACCACTCACGGCGTGGATCTGACGTTGCTTGACTGTACAGCGCATCGCCGACAAGAAGAGGATCCACAGGAACAGTGGCAGTACTGAGGGCAGTTTCCTGAATCACTGAAGGCTTTCATTTTCCTGGGCTTTTAAGTAACCAGGATGAAAAAGGTATAAGCGTTAATTTAAAAATGGTTCCTTCAAGAGAATTTTTTTGGAAAAAAAAGTATGGTACTCCAAAGCCCAGTTTCTAAAGGGCCAGAAGCAGCAGCGCTTTGGCGCTTCCGCTTCGTCCACCACCCAATCGGGCTCCCTCTGCACAATCGGCGGCGGTTCCTGGCTAGTTTTCGAAGACGGTATGGGACACTATCGTAGTAATAGGAAATACTCGTCCTCAGGTCCTTTATTTATATGCTTTACAGTAATTATGTATACGTGTATGTGTGTGCGTATGTATATATATGTATATATATATATATATATATATATATATTTCATATGCATAATATATATATATATATATATATATATACATTATATACACATGTATATGGTTTTAAGACGGTTCAAAGGTATCGGAAAGTTTTTCTTGTTTAAGGTCGACGCCTCCAAGGCTTCCTTCTCCACTGGCTTGGCGGCCTCTGAATTTCGATCGTGGGTTCTTGCTGAGGAACTCATTTCAGATGTATATGGTCTTTGTTTGACGGTCCAAAAATACAAAACAGGAAAGGTCAGGGTGTTGCTCGAGGCCTCCACGGCTTCCTTCTCCACTGGCTTGGCGGCCTCTGCATGTCGATCCTGGGGTCTTTCTCGGGAACTCATTTCAAACGTATATGTTTTTTTTATGACGGTTCAAAGGTATAGGTTCGGAATATTTTTTCAAGGTCAGGGTGTTGATCGACGCCTCCACGGCTTCCTTCTCCACTGGCCGGGCAGCCGCCCAGCCGAGGGCGATCTGTGCGTTTCGATCCTGGGTTCTTGTTCAGAAACTTATCTGAGGTGCAATCATGACATAAGTAGGAAACCGTACTGATTTACTGTACTACAGATACCTACTTTGGCATATTACTGTGTAGGTAGAATACTGTTTCGACTGATAGGGTAACTTAAACTCTTAAACTCTTTCAGAAGAGCCGAGAATCCGGGGCCCTCTCTCTGAGCTCCGCTGGGGTGTAGTAGCCCTGAGCTTGAAAAAAAATTGCAACTTTTTTAGGGCCTTAAAAGGAAGATAGGTTTTGAAGGTTCAAGGTTTAGGGACTGGAGTTTCGGTTTGAGGGGTTTCAGCGTTTAAGGGTATGACTGTGGTCCTGGGATATAAAAATACTATACTGACAAGAAGCGGGAACCTAAGGAACAATACTACATTGGCTTTATGCTTCTATGTTAGACCTACTCCCCAAACAACAGAAAACGAAAAGAACATGCATATCAAGGACTGAAGGGAGGCCTCGTAGGAAGGATTCTCGTGGCGGAGAGGGTCAGCTTCCGTGCCAGCGCAGTAGAGCAAACTCCTCGTCAGAGCCTTCGGCTGTGACCGAGGAGAGAACTCAGGCGTCTGATTTGCGAGGATGCCCATGACAAGAATCCGTTTCGGCTTGTCCTCCGGTAGACGGTAGAAGGATAGAGTTCAGAAAGCAACAACAACTGCAACGCAACGCTTAGGTCTTGAGACAGGGTGGTAGAACAAGGCGCAGCAAGAGAAGAAACCTAACAGCAGTTGAGAGCGCTATTGGCAACAAGCCGCACAGTACTAACAGTATGATGCGGTTCTGACTCCTGAAAGTGTCACACACTGCATGCATGAACGAAGTCACCGTTAACTTGCACCCTTGCCAACACTACCCATACCCATCGCGTGTCCTGGAAATAGAGGCCGTAGTGCGCGGCCGCGGGATTGTGCGACGGCCTCTGGCAGTCCTGGTACTGAATTGTAAGAAGAAGTTGAGGCTGCCTTCGAAAGACTTCTTTTTGTTTGCAGCAGCATCTAAATAAAATCCGTTCGACATAGACTGAATTTACCGTAAACCCTAAGCCCTGAAGCCTGCAAGGTTGCAGTTCCATCGATACCTGTATCGGACAGCTATGACCATGACTTCCCGAACCCCCAGAAACCGTCCGAATCGTAACAGTGCACAGTCCAGGGTTCAGGGTTCAGGGTTTCGGGTTTAGGTGTTTCGGGTTTAGGGGCTTAGGATTTAGGGTTTAGGGCCTTGGCCCAAAGCTTGAACTCTGACTCTACACCTAAAGCCTAAGATAACCTGCCCGGGAGCCTTTGAACTCCAAAACTCAACCGTTATAGTAACCCTACCTTAACCTACCAAACTCTACCTTTTGGAGGTTCTTTTTATAAACCTTAAAGACCCTACAAAAATGTAGGTTTTGGTAGGAAGGTAAGGTAATAGCAACCCTTAAAGCAACCCTGTGGTAGCCCGAGGAATGACCCTGAGAGTAATCCCAACAATCACCCCTAATGTACAGTAACCCTAATGACAATAACCCCTGTAATCACACTTGTGCAAACTCTAGAAGTATATAATCCTGACCCTAAACCCCAAACAACCCTAAATCCTAAACCCTCAAGAGCAGGATAAATAGAAATTGTGTGAATTTCGCCTAGAATTGCAGTTTCCTTAGTTTCGAATTTTCCCTAAACGTGTGGGAAAAAGATCCCAGCCCAACCCCAAGCCAATCTCCAAACACTTCAACCCACCAGCCCCAGCCAGAGTCCCAGCCCCAGAGACCCAGCCCCAGAGCCAGAGGCCCAGTCCCAGCCACGGTTTAGGGTTCAGGGTTCAGGGTTTAGGGTTTAGGGAAAAGGAAACCCGCTCAAAACTTATTGGCACCCAAACCCTGAACAATTTCAATAAACTGACCCTGTGACCCTAAACCCCAAACATAGGAACTCCGCGCAGCCTCCAGGTAGTTCTCGAACATCACCACCCGACCGCGCTCGGCCGGAATGCTACCCGCCTCCTCGGGTGGTTTGTGTTCTTGGCCCAGCTCGGCTTTCGGCTTGGTTCTACCAGGGTTTAGGGCTCATGGGTAGTTATGAGTGGGGTTATAAGTGGGTAACCATAACTGTGACCCGTAGTAGGGGACTTGTTAACCCACTTTATACTACCCATGAACCTCCAAGTAGGGTTCATGAGGGTTTTGGGCTGAAAGGCTAATGGTTCAGAGCTTGGCTCCGCAGTACATCCAGGGAAACGAGGGCTTAGGATGTTGAATTTTCTGGCTTCCGGTGATCTAGGCTTCACTGTCTTAATATAGGGGCCTTAATCATTAGAATAGGGTTTTGATGCACAAAAAACTATACTTACAAAAAGAAACCCCAAAATATTGTTGATGGATAAAGTCCTGCATGACCCTAAATTATGGGAACTATGGTATGTTCCTTATAATGGGTAGTGCAGGATTTTGTCCATCAGCAGTAGTATTGGTAATTATTTACTCACTGGCCCAAAACCCAAGGAAACAAAAGTCGAAACTTTCAGAACCGACTACCTTATAAGAACCCTAAAAGTTGAAAAGTTGAGTTTACGGCCAATACGTTTAGGCCCCTACAGGAGAGAGCTGGCTCCGGCCTCTGGGGCATCGGGAAAGCAGATTCCTCCCACAGAGTTGAAGTAGACCACGATGGTCACGGTGGGCACCACCTTCTGGTGTCTTGCTTAGGAGCTTCGAATCAACCAAAAGGGATGAATGGGAACTACGATGTTGCTTTCCGTATTCTGGCACTCTTAAACTGCAGTCCCCACAAGAACTGCAAATGACATTCCGTATCATTGTAAATTCAACCGCTGCTCAAGTTGAGAAGGCCTCCACTTCCCGAGAAAACTGCATCCGAAACCTCTGACCCCTAAACCCAAAACCTGAAAGCCTGAAGCCTAAAGCCCTAAACCCAAAAGCCTTGAGTTCTAGAGTTCTACACACTAAACCCACCTTCCGCGGCTTTCGGGGTTCGGAGCTTTGCAGGCCCAGGTCCAGGAAATTCCAAGTGCTGCCATCCAGGTCATCCAGGTTTATGTGGTCCACCTGGCAGGGCTTTAAGGTTGGTTTGACGGTTTAGGGGTTCTGTAAGGATTACTTTATGCACTCTGCAGGGATACTTTGAACGGTGTTACAATGTTACTTTCACGGTTCTTTACCGAACTTGATGCGGTCCACATGTTCAAACTGTTCTTTAGGGTTTGGCGGTTGATGGCTCGTTGCTGAAGGTTTTAAGCTTTGGGGTTTAGTGCTTACGGTTTCGGGTTTGGCTTCATGTGGTCCACATGAGCAGACTGTCCAGCTCCCCAAATGTCGGAGACCATGAACTTCTCGAAGGGCTCCTCTAAGTTTAAACCCCAGCAACGCGCGATCATCTCGAAGAAAGGTCTGGAGGTTTCATCCATCGCGAACTCGATGCTGCGCGATGTGAGGGGCCTACCATGATACTCGTCCTCTCTCTGTCGCCCAATCACTGGCCAAAACATCGAGTCTTAAAGCAGTATATATAAGTGTATATACAAGCCCGAAAAGTGTAAACTTTACGAGCTGAACTACCAAGTCCTTCGTAGTTTTGCCCCTGCTATCTGTGGCAAAGGCCTTGTCCACATGATCCAGCATCGACTCAGGAACCGCCTCATCCACCACCCACACATGGGGCAGAACTTGAGACGCCTTCATCGCCATGGGTGGACTTATCCCGATCCCTGGCAGTTGAAGCAAACCGTGCGATTTTCGGGCTGATCAGCCGGGAGGCTGCAGGAGATGAACCAATGATTGCGCTGATTCTCACAGAAGGGCAGAAAACAGCTGCTTGGAGGTTCCTGGGTAGTTATAAGTTATTAATAAGTGGGGCTTTAAATTCACTAATATGGGTCATAATTATGGTTACTCTACTTATAACCCCACTTTATAACCACCCATGAACCTCCAAGTGTGTGACAGCAAATAAACACTTTAATCTGAATACGGCTACGTCCGTGACGGCACTGCCCAGTGGGCAAAGGATCGGGGACTTCGCAAGTCCAAGCGTGGGGGGGTCTAATTAACGAAGCTGATGTTTGTTACGATCATTCAGCTTCGTCGTCATCATCATCAACAACAACAACAACAACAGTAGCAACATCATCATGAGCATTACCTGGCATATGCGTGTTGGCTTCTGGGCAGGGGGGTGGTCTTGCAGGCTGCATTCAGGGCAGCAGTCAGTTTTAGGCTTGAGGGGTGACTATACAGGGACTGACTTTATTAGTCAAGGAATTCGGGTTCAGGGCTTGCGTTCGGTAACCGTGGTCTGTGGTTCAAGGCAACGGAAGTCCAGCGCAACTTTGCTGGGGCACCGCCAGGGGTGTGGAGATGAAGCCCTGAATCACACAACCCTTTTAAACCCTTGACCCGGAAACTCGCTTCTCTGTCTCCACGGCTCAGTGCAAAGAAAAAGAACTGCATGTGTGGATCTGGCGTTGCCTGACTGTACAGCGCGTCGCAGACAAGATATATTAGCAATGACAATATCAAGCGCTGCTTGTGAAACCACCCTATACTCTTATATACTCCCTATAGATCCCGGGGACCCTTATTGGAACCCTTGTAACTACCCCTACAGGCTTTCACGAGCTGTTCCCCAGGGCCAGCAGCAGCAGCGCTTTGGCGCTTCCGCTTCCTCCACCATGCTCTCGGGCTTCGTCTGCACAACTGCTGGTTCCTCCACCAGGGGTCTAGGGTTTAGGGTTTAGGGTTTCGGGTTCCTCCACTACTTGGTGGTTCATGGGTAGTTAAAAGGGTTCCATTAAGGGTCCCTTTAAAGGGATCTGCATGAGGGGCCCATTATCCTATAATTATAATGGGGCACTCCCAAAATAGTGTTATTAAGGTTTACTATGCTACTAAAGGGCCTAAACCCTTATGGTACGTACCCTTAAACCCCTTAAAAGGAACCCCTTAACGGAACCCTTAAAAGAGCCCCTTAAAGGAACCCTATACCCTGAGAGCCCAAAGCTCTTCGGATCCTCCTTCGGCTCCTCCTTTGGCGGTGGCTTCCACTTTAACTGCTCCATGACCTTTACGAGGATCTATGAGGGTACTATAAGGGTACTATAAGGGTATCTTTAAAGGGATCTATAACGGTACTCTAAGGGTATCTTTAAAGGGATCTATAAGGGCACTATAAGGTTCCTATAAGGGTGTCTTTAAAGGGATCTATAAGGGTACTATAAGGTTCCTATAAAGGTGCTATAAGGATAAGAGTCCTAAAAGGGTAGAATTACGGTTTAGGGTTTCGAGGCTGCTATACTAGGTCCCTGAGTTGCCCCTTTATACTAAGGGCACACTTTTTTCCGACTATTCGGTTTTGATAAGGAGACCGTAAAACAGAAAGGGCAAAAGGTTACTACTCAGGAACCTAGTTACCGCGTCGCGGGATTCCTCTTGCTCATGGCGGAGTGGGTCAGCTTCCGTGCCAGCGCAGTAGAGCAAACTCCTCGTCAGAGCCTTCGGCTGCGACCCAGCAGAGAACTGAGGAGTCTGATTTGCGAGGATGCCCATGACAAGAATCCGTTTCGGCTGGTCCTCGGGTAGACGGTAGAAGGATGGAGTTCAGAGAGCAACAAGAACTGCAACGCGATGCTGAGGTCTTCGAAACCTAACGGCAGTTGAGAGCGGTCTTGGCAACAAGCCACACAATATTAACAGCGACAATATCGCTCACAATCTCATGTACGATGCTGTTCTGACTCCTGAAAATGTCACACACTGCATGCGCAAATGCAAACACTATGAACTCGCACTCTTGCCAACACTACCCATACCCATCACGTGTCCTGGAAATAGAGGCCGTAGTGCGCGGCCGCAGGATTGTGCGACGGCCTCTGGCAGTCCTGGTACTGAGTTGTAAGAAGAATTGGGCATCTAAATTAAATCCGTTCGATATAGATCCAATTACAAGGTTGCAGCTTCATCGATACAAGTATCGGATAGCTGTGACCCTGCAGCCGGCCCGGAGCTTCCGAACTCTCAAACTCAACCCTTACAGAAGGCGGCGGGCGCAGGGGGCACTGTGTTACTTTCCTGGGTTTTCTTGGATTGTCGGGACATGTTGGATGATTCCATGGGGTTGCGTGGCGGGGTAGAATTTAGGGTTTCTTTTGCGGCTTTACATAACATACTGGAGAAGGGTGCTTGACGCCGCCGCATTGTCACAAGCATTCATGCCTTGTGCTAGCCGGCTAGCCTGCCTGGTACTTGCAACAGCGCTTTGCCACTTTATACAACATACTACAGAAGGATGTCTGACGTTTCTCGCATAAGACGCACTGTCGCAAACGTTCATGCCTTGGGCGTGCATGCCCAAAACACTGGTGCTTACGGCAATTTTGCCTCTTTGTGCAACACAGTGCACAACGAGATAATGATGGCGATGATGAAGATGAACATCAAGATGAAGACGAAGAACAAGATGCTGATCAGTAAAAGCCAGCTCAGTGAAAGCTTGTCCAACTCGCTCACAATAGTTTGCAGGGCGCTACAACCCCGCTGTGTTCTGAAAACCGTACGAGAGACGTCAGCTTCATCCGTTGGCAAAAATTCGAAGAAATATGACGCCCTATGCGCCCGCACGCTTCTAGTAGCAACCCTAACATAGTAACCTTGTGGCAACCTCAACAATAACTTTGACCCTTACAGTAATCCCATGATTAACCCAAATAGCAACCCTTACAATAACCCTTATAATCATCCTTCAAGAATCCCTAATCGTAAACCCAACCCTAAACTCCGAACTTGGTGGCTCCTTATTGTAATTTTTTTAGCATGATATCCCCCAAACCCTATTCTAATCGTGACCCTTGCAGACCCCTTTAACGGAACCCAAACCCTTATGGTAGCTCCCAGCAGCCTTCAGGTAGTTCTCGAACATCACCACCCGACCGCGCTCGGCCGCAATGGTACCCACCTCCTCGGAGCGGTTTGGGCTCAGCTCAGGCATTTAATATAGGGGCCTTCATAATTAGAATAAAGCTTTGGGGGCCCACTCTGGATAATTATGAACAGGAGCCGCCAAAATAGTATAGGTAACCTATAGTAGCCTTGTCAGGGCTTGGTCTAAAGGGCTTATGGTTTCATGAGGCTTTTGTGCTGAGCGTTAAAGGTTTCAAGTTTTGCGGATGTGAGATTTATATCAGATTCAGGAATTCAGGGTGTGGGATTAATGCCGGGTTCCGGTGCCTTGGGGTTTAGGGTCCAGGGTTTAAGGCTTCGTGGTCATGCCGAATGGGTCCCCTCCTCGGGGGCATTGGGAAAGCAAATTCCTCCGACGGAGTTGAAGTAGACCACGACCGTCACGGTGGGCACCACCTTCTGGGATCTTGTTCAACATCTTCGTCTTAAGTTACAACAAAGGGATGTGCGGGATAAAACCTCGCTTTCCATACTATGGCATTCTTAAGCTATATAGTCAATATAGTCCCTAAAGTACAAGAAACCACGGAGGATATGCGTTCTGTAGTGCGGCATCTTGAAATCAAATCGGAAAACCCCAAAACCCTGAAAAACCCTAGAACCCTAAACCTTAAACGCTAAAGCCTAAAGCTCTAATAAACGCAAAAAGCTTACATCCTAGAGCCCAACACCCTAAAACCTCAAACCCCAAAGCCACCTTCCGGCAGTTTCGGGTTTCGGAGCTTTGGAGGGCCATGTCCAGGAAACTCCAGTTTCGGCCATCCAGATCATCCAGGTTTATGTGATCCACCTGGCAGGGGTTTAGGGTTTAGGGTTTAGGGTTAAGGGTTAAGGGTTTAGGGTATCCACATCATCCAGGTTTATGTGATCCACCTGGCGGGGGTTTCCAGGGGGTTGCTACTTAAAGGATCATGGGACTTAGTAACTAACTAGGGTTACAATTAGGGCAACTATACTTATCAGCCCAATTAAGGTACTTATAACCTTACTTAAGAAATCCCATGATCCTCCAAGAAGAAGGGGTTTAGACTTGAAAGTCCAGGGATGTCTAGGCCTTTGGGTTTACGTGGTCCACCTGGGGTTTTATATGTTTTATAGGGGTTCTCTAACAGGTCCTTTACAGGTGCAAGGGTTCTGGGGCTTGATGCGGTCCGCATGAGCAAACATCTTGGGGTTTAGGGTTTAGGATTTTGGCTTCATGTGGTCCACATGAGCAGACTGTCCAGCTCCCCAAATGTCGGAGACCATGAACTTCTCGAAGGGCTCCTCTAAGTTTAAACCCCAGCAACGCGCGATCATCTCGAAGAAAGGTCTGGAGGTTTCATCCATCTCGAACTCGATGCTGTGCGATGTGAGGGGCCTACCATGATACTCGTCCTCTCTCTGTCGCCCAATCACTGGCCAAAACATCGAGTCTTAAAGCAGTATATATAAGTGTATATATAAGCCCGAAAAGTGTAAACTTTACGAGCTGAACTACCAAGTCCTTCGTAGTTTTGCCCCTGCTATCTGTGGCAAAGGCCTTGTCCACATGATCCAGCATCGATTCAGGAACCGCCTCATCCACCACCCACACATGGGGCAGAACTTGAGACGCCTTCATCGCCATGGGTGGACTTCTTCCGATCAGGGGCAGCTGACGAACCAATAACTGTGCTGATTCTCACAACAGGCAGAAGACTGCTCTGCGACAGCAAATCCATCTTGTTTTGGGCAAAGTAAACACATCAGTCTGAATCGGGCTACGTCCGTGGAGGCACTGCAACTTTCAATCAGCTTCTTCGATGTTTGGTGCCCTTGATCGATGGGCCGTGGCAGTGTTTTGGGGACTCGCAAGACCATGAAAACAACAAACTTCTGAACCCTAAACCCTAAACCGTGGAGTCGCAGCCGAGCCACAACATCGTTCTTCAGCAGCGACAGCTTTGCACAGCTGGGCCCTTCCTGGGAGGATGTGTCGATCTAGGTGTTGCACTGAAGGCTGGAGGGTCTTAAACCCTAAACCCACTCCATGCTTCCATCCATCCAGCTAGCCAGCCATCTATACACATATGTTGCATGTATATATATATATATATACATACATACATACATACATACATACATAAGCATATATATATATATAGATATATATAGATATATATGTATATGCATGTAACATGAAAAATGTAAGATGTAATATGTAGTATGTTTTATGTAATATGTAGCATGTAAGATGTAATGTATAATATGTGATACGTAGTATGCAATAAGGGGCTATGTAATATGCAACATGTAGTGTGTAATGTGTAATGCGCAACATGACATGTGCAATATGTAATATGTAACATGTGATATGTGCAGTAATGTTTAATATGTATTATGTAAAATGCAACATGCAAATGTGTATGACATACACATGTTTGTGTAATATATATATATATATATATATATATATATATACGCTGTATTAGAAAAGAACGTACGGCCCCATGACCTGAGGCTTTAGGGCTTCTAGAAGGGTTACGATACAAATTACTAACGAGTTGCGATGAGGGTCACCACGGGCTGTTACAAGGGCTACTATCGAAGGTTTAGGGTTCAGGGCGGGTCGCGGCGACCTCATATCAGGCTTTTCCATCTAGGCACAAACGAGCTCCGTTGCTAGGAACCTGGCTGGGCCACCCTTTCCAAACCCTTTCTACCTGTACCATGTGGGCAGTTCTCTAAACTGGGTCCCCAAAATAGGAGGGTACCCATAAAAAGATCCCAAAATGAACTCTGATTTAGAAAATTACCCATGTGTAGAAACTTGCAAGTAGTCTGTCTGGTTCTTAGTAGGGAATGGGGGGAATGGGGATTTTGGAGACGATTGTGATACTCTGCAAGTCCGCTGCAGACCCAACACTCCATCTCACCCCTAAACCCTGATCACTCTCATCCCTAAAAACCCTACACCCTAAACCCTAAACTCTAATCCCTAAAAACTCTGCACCCTCATCCCCAAACCCTAAACTCTAATCCCCAAAAAACCTACACCTTGATCCCGTAACCTCAATGCCTTGCCGGCTACCGGCGCCCAAGGGCAACTACCGGCCTTCGGTCGGTGGGCCTTGGTCGCGTTCTCAAACCCCCGCCGTAGCTGCTCGCAAGCGTCGCAGTATCGCGGGTCCTTTCTAAGAAAGCCCGGATACAACTCTCCGCTCGCGTTGGGCTTGCCCCTATGGTTGGGAGCGGGTTCGCCAGGAGGGATGAAAGGCCGATGGCCACTGTACTTGCCTTCGCGGCCGCCTTAAGCGAGCCAGAGGCTGCACTCCCGGGAACAGGGGTGGCAATAGAGGCTTGTGATGTGGACAGAAACTTGCTGAGGCTGGGATCAGCTTCGAAAATACCGTCCTTCTCATGATCTGGATAATGTCGCAGAAACTTGCCATGGACGAGGCGGGCCATTGCTTTCCACACGAAGGAGCGTCTGAACATGGAGTTGAAATTTCTGTTGGTCACACCGAGGAAAGCCATGACCCTGTTCACCTCCAGCCATGTCCACCCAATCATTTGGAACATGCGAGTGATCCGCCGCCGATCAATCCGTACGCCTGGCTTTCATGCTGAAGCTGTTTCTCTAACATGCGGTGCACCTCCCGCTAGTCCTCGCTAGCGCAGCAGACACTGGGCTTGCACGCTCCCTCTCTTTGTTTTGGACGGGCATTGGCTTGCATTAGCTGGTATATGGTACACGGCAGGGCGTCTTACGTCCACAGGGTCTCGGAGGGAAGCTTCTCCATCGAGACCACTGTGCTGCGCCACCACTTCCGCCCTACTTTGAGGGGGTGTGGCCAGAGGAAGTCCCTGGTGAGCCCCAGCTCGAAGTTCAAGGGGCGCCCTCCAGGAACCTCCATCTGCTGCCGGAGCTGCCGCTGCCGAAGGTTCACATCCGGATCGTCCTCGTACTCTTCGGACAGCCACTCTGCAGTCCTGGGCCAGGCTCTCCGTCTTGCCTTCTCTCTCACTATCCTGGTCTGTGCGCTTTCTTATTGTTGCTGAGTCTGGAGCTGGCGGTTCGGCAGCAGACTGAAGTGGTCTGTCTCCTCCGGATGGTGTGTCCGGAGGACCCGCCCCGACTCCATGTATCGGGGCGGGCCTCCTGCCTCCCAGACCTGTCAGAGCAGCTGCTGTTTCCAGCCACGGGCTTTTTTTCACACCTTGCTCTCTCGGAGCCTGCCTGCATGTGGTACTCCACGGCGGAGGACTTGTCCTTGCGGTAGAGGCTCATCTTCAACTCCTCGCGGACGCCTGAGTTCAAAGGAAGCTCAACTGGTTCTCCGCTACCCACACCACCACCCACCACTCCAATCCAGTCCGAGGCACCGGAAGTCTCCACCACGAACCTGGCTCGCAGCACCGTTTTAGGCCGCTGCTCTGAGCCGTCAAAGCTGTCCTGCACATGTCTGTCGAGGAAACTTACTGGCTGCGCTACGCACTACTGCCTAGCCAGCCTGCAAGAAGTTGAAGAGGTTCATGGCCGCCGTGTCACCGGAGTGATAGAGGGACGGGAGGGACACTGATAGCTTCGAGCCAAGAAGAAGCTGCTGTCTCCATATGGCTTTCTGCCCATGCTGCCATCACCTGAAATTGTCTTTTCGTATAGGTCGATGTGCATCTTGCAGGTTCTCACGTCCATCAGCATGACCCTGAGCGTCGTTGGCCTGGCTAGGACCAAGCTCTTCACCTTCACCCTTTTGCATGAAGATGGCAGCCTTCTTGTCCTGACAGCATTGCATCATCTTGGCAACAGTAGTTTGCATATCCGGAACAATGTCAACGAGTCCATGTGGAAGATAACGTGGGTGTACACATACGACTTTCATCTGCTGGCACCAGCCATCATAGCTGCAACTAGCGTATTTGATCCTTTGGCGAGACGCTGAAATCCCTCCGACCGCCCTGCGAGTAATATTAGAATAGGGTTCCTTTAAAGAGTTCCTTAAAAGGGGTCTCTAAGGGATCTATAAGGGTACTATAGTATAGGGGCCTTAATGATTAGAACAGGGTTTTAGGGCCCTCTGCTATGATTATAACTCTAATAAGGAGCCCCTGTTTGTCTAGGCCCCTGTAGTACCAGAACCCTTTCGGAGGGCCTCGCCTCGCGTAGGCTCCAAAGCGCGAAGCGTAAGCCTCGGCCCTCGAAGCCCCTAAACCCTAAAACCCTAAATCCTTGATCCTAAAACCCTAAAACCCTGAAACCCTAAAACCCTGAAACCCTAACCCAAACCCCCGCAAAACAACAAAACCCCTAAAACCCAACTTTCTGGGCCGAGCACATTGTTAGACGAGTAGACCTGCGAGGAAACTTGGACAAACTCATGCAAACTCTTGTAAACAAGGAGGGTTTTGTGAGTATAGTTCACGGTGTGGGGGTTTGGGGGTTTTGGGTGCACCCGTGCATCATCATGATTTGGCATGACAATGATTATTCCATTTTCCTGCTACTGCTAATGACTATTGCTGATGCAGGCACGACCCCTCGTGCAAGCACTCAATAGTCCCAGTGCCCTGTCTAGTGCTACCGCTACGTACCTTGAACATCGTCATCGTCCTCATCATCACCACCGTCTTGGCCATCAATATCGCCATCACAATTCCAACGCCTCAAGCAAGAAGAACAGATTGCTTGACTAGCAATCAACATCGCAACTGCTACCATCATCGCATTCACTGGTGTTGATGCTCTCGTTACTACGACTAGAAGAATAGGGTTGGGGCTGAGCTAAGAAGGGCAGATCATTGCTTCAACGGTTCCCACTCGCAACCCCAGTTTGAGCGACTCGAATATGGGCTGCACGTCCGAACATGCTTGGAACGTCGGGGGGGGGGGGCAGTCTGCGGCTCAGGACAGCACCCGGACCTATGCCGTTGCCCGCGGGTTCGGGATGTATCAATCCTAGTTGGAGGATGATGGGATTTCTGAAGTAAGGTTATAGGTACCCTAATTGGGGTTAGAAGTATAGTTACCCTAGTTATAACCCTAGTTACTAAGTCCCATGATCCTTTAAGTACAGCCCGCATATCTTCGGGTGCAAAAACGCAGGGGGGGAGACTTCCGGCTTGTAAACCCGCGCTAGGCGAAACCTAGGAGCAACCTAGGAATAAAAAGGGTGGCCCGTTTTAAAACCCTAAACCCTGAACCCTAATTTATACCCTAACTTGGCTTAAAAAGGGGGTTAGGTTAGAAAGGAGCCTAAACCCCTAAAAAAAGGAATAGGGGCCTACTCTGGGTCCTAGTAGACGGTGAGGCGCAAGCAGTACAACACACGGCAGCATTCCTCTGGAGCAATTAATGCTGAAATCGCTGCCTGCGAAAGGTTTCAGTCAGGTCCTCAATGCACGGCTGCAGGGAGAAATGGTGATCACCTTAAACCCTAAACCCTAAACCCTAAATGAGGTCCCGAGGATGATATCCCTCAGACCCCAAGCGTAGCTTAGCGCTCCGATTGATACTGTTGATGATATAAATCCTGCATTACGCATAATAAGGAATATACCATTACTCCCATAGTTTAGGGTCCTTAAGGTAATGCAGGATTTATATCATCAACCGTAGGACATAGCCCTTGGGAGCTCGTCACGGATCTGGGGTTTACGACTCGGAGGATGTGATTCCACCGTGTTTACGAAATCCCTTGAACCTCCAAGATAAACGTGCCTTGTAATTAGAGTCCATTTAAAGAACATGAACCCCCGATTAAAAGCCGTTTGGGCTTTAGGTTTAGGGTTCAGGGTTCAGGGATATTGCTCTACCCCCGGCCTGAAAGTAGCGATCCAACTCGATCGACTCATTCGAAGGGTAGCTCCGCCACTGGCCCTCCTGCTTCTCCCACCTGTGTCAAGGCCTACTTGGAGGATCATGGGACTTAGTAAGTAAGGTTATAAGTACCTTCATTGGGGGATGTAAATATAGTTACCCTAATGATAACCCTAGTTACTAAGTCCCATGATCCTTTAAGTAGACCCTATAAATCCCCTTCTTATAATAGAACCCCTAAAGATCCCTTTAAAGGAGCCCTTTCAGGAACCCTAGCTACGAAGTCCCATGATCCTTTAAGTATCGGCCCAGGGACTTCAGTCCCCCTTGGTAGGGCATCAAAGCTTTAGGCTCAAGGCATTTTAAGGTTTAGGGTTTAGGGTTTAGGGTTTAGGGCTTAGGGAATTTTAAGACCGAAAAGGGTTTCGGGCTCTTATCGGCAACTCCAGAAAGTTGGAATATGGTTTCATGGTAGGATACCCTATAATTTACCATAGAAGGGTTAGGATAATCATATTCCAACTTTCTGGCTTTTACCTTAAACTGTAGGATCGCAAGAGGCTTCATGCCCAAGGGTCTCATACTGATGATGACTTCGCAGGGCTTCAGATGCTCATACGTGCCATCTGTATAGACATTGTCGCGTGAAGGCAGACACTCTTTCCAGCAAGCTGTCAACGGACTACAATACTTAGTAGGCTCACACCCCGGGACTGCAGGAATGTGGCCCATCATCGCACGACCCAAGTTTGCCTAGGTTCCTGAATAGGTACCCTGTTTCCTACGATGCTGTCTTAATAAGGAGACCCAAACCCACAAAGAGCAAAAGGGCACTTAGAGGTTCATGGGTAGTTAGAAGAGGGGTTATAAGTAGGGTAACCGTAATTATGACCCATATTAGGGGACTTTTAACCCCACTTATAACTACTCATGAACCTTCAAGCAGGCCCTAAACCCTATACCCATAAAGAATCCCTATAGATCCCTTTAAAGGGGCCCTTAAAGGAACCCTTACTCAGGAACCTAGTTGCGTGCCTTCAACCCGAAGCCCCGAGCCCCAGAGCTCCCACTGACCTGAGAAATCCCTGCATAGAGCCCTCCTAAATTCCCTGGGCCGCTTCGGGTTTAGGGTTTAGGTTCAAGGGCTTCGGGTTTAGGTTCAAGGGCTTAGGGTTTAGGTTCAAGGGCTTAGGGTTTAGGTTCAAGGGCTTAGGGTTTAGGTTTTAGGGCTTAGGGTTTAGGCTTTAGGGCTTGCGGTTTAGGGTTGAAGGCTTAGGGCTCAGGGTTTTGAGTTTCAACCCTCTAGTTCAGGCTTTACAGTAAAAGCCAGAAAGTTGGAATATTATTATCCTAAACCCTTTATGGTAAATTATAGGGTATCCTACCCTGAAACCATATTCCAACTTTCTGGAGTTCCCTTTACGGAGAAGTGCCGGGGGCCTCCAGTCGGGCTCCTCCGCGGCGAAAGGGTCGAAGGCCGGCAGGTCACGGGGATGGATGAATCCTGCCCAGGGGTTTAGGGTTTAGGGTTTAGGGTCCCCTTAATTAGCTAAGCCTTTACATATCCTTAAACCATAGTAGGATTCAATGTGCTTTGAGGTATCTTCGGTAGTTAAGGGATGGGGCAGTCTCTGGGTGTTGGGTTTTAGGGCTTGGGGGGCTTAGGGTTCTGGGGCTGAAGGCCGTAGGGGGTTTGGGGTTAGGGTTTCAGGGTTCAGGGTTTAGGGTTTAGGGTTTAGGTTTCAGGGTTTATTTATCCAGCAGATTTCTCTAGCCCTTGGATCGGGTTTGGAAGCTGTAGAGGTTGAAGATAGCAGAGCAGCCCACATCTGCTCAGAACGACGTTTCGCGGCGGCGCTTTCTACTGTAGGATCCTACTGAGGGTTCCTGGTAACCGGGGGTTCGAGTTCGAGATTCTTGGGGGGACATGGAATCTCGGGTTTCCAGCCTAGCTATGATTTGACACAGCAGCCTTGTGAAAGCTGGGCAGGGGTCAAACGTCCAGTCTGAAATTCTTACATTTTCGGACTTGTAAGTTGATCCTGGAGTCCTAGATTCTAGATCGCATGCCGACAAGCTCCTCAGATTCAGCAGAGTACCACAACCCGCGGAGCCTCTAAACCCCAAAGCCTGAAGCCCTAAACCCCAAGTGTCTAGTCCATGCATGCAAAAATATTGAGCACCGAAACCTGTAAGCCTGAACCCCACACCCAGACCCGGACCCTGACGTCACCTCATCCTACTTCTCCACATCAACCATGCAGGCTCTTCTTGGCAAAGCTTGTCACTCCAGAAGAAGTGCCAAGCAGCTACATTTTCTTGTGATGGCTATTGCTAGGGCTGGGGCACAGATTGCAGCTTGACACTGGCAATGACAGCGATCATCGATACGTTCTTGTAAACTTGTAACGGCAACCCCAGTAGACGACTTCAGCGTTGCAGCGGCTGTCGGCCATTTTGATTTCCGTCGCCCTGGGCTCTCCGTGCGTTTTGGTCAGTCCTCCTCGTCTTTGCTGTAAAAGACAGGTCGCCGGCCCAAGGGCTTCGAGGAGGCGGGCTGCTGCCTGGGGGACTGTGGGGGAGGGGTTGGGGGTGGGGACTCCCTCTCCGAAGCTTCAGGGGAGGAGTCCGAAACCTCCACGAAGCGTCGATTGGGCCTTCCGACTGAAGCCGAGCTCAGGCCACGATCGTACTGCGGGCTTGCTGGAGAAAGTGCATCCGTATCCTCAGCCTCCCCAGCCTCCTTCTCCTTGCTCTGGGGCGGACGAAGGTCCGCCTCCGCTGTCTCCGGGATCGCAGGTTCCTTCTCGGCCTCGGAGAAAGTCTGCACTGTCTCTGGCTTCTCTGACGGAGCCAGCTTCAACGACGCAGGATCGGCAGCTAAGGCTAAGGGCAAGCTCGCCGCTTCAGCTGGAGTTCCTATGTGCACGGAAGCCTCTAGAGAGGGGGTTTCGCTGCCCTTTGCCGGTGATGCTGCTTTCTGTTGCACTTTCGGCACCAAGAGCCACCACCAGGCGGGCAAGACCGAGCAAAGCAGTACTGCAATGATGCCTGCTCCTTGCTGGTATCGTTGTTGCAGAGAGAGTTCTCTCGTGGGTGTCTCCACCAGCACGGCATACATTGCCACCTCCCAAGAATACCCGATCTGCAACGCAAGTGCTCGCAGTAGGCAGTCTGAAGGGGCATCTTCGCTGGACCACAGGCAGGACGTCCCCATGACAGCAATGGCGCCTAAGGAGGCTACGAGGGCTTGCAGCATGAAAGCAGCGAGCCGCTCTGTGACCTCCAGCTTGCGGTGGCCCGAGGTCGTGCTGTACCAGAGCAGCCACTGCAAGGAGAAAAACACGAGCCAGGATGCGGTCATCGCCGTGGTCTCGGCAAACCAGGATACCGCAAAGCGAAGATTCGCCGAGGTCCCCGCAAGAGACTTCGATAGCCTGGACACCAGAATGCAAAGCATGAGCGCTGTGCAGGTGCCAAAGCTCATCCACATGAGGTCAGCCTGTGTCAAAGCTCCCGTTTTTGTAGGGCTACAGGGCACAGAGCCCACCACAGCGAAGCGCACCCAGACAGATATCAGGAATCCGACGGCAAAGCCACCAGCTTCTCGGTGCATGTCCTGCATGCTCACCGCATCAAGCTCGTCTCGATCTGAATGCGGTAGTGACTCATAATGCTGCTGCAGCCGCGAACAAAGCAAGGCCATCGTCACCCAGAGCAGCTGCACTCCCAGGACACCAAGCAAGTACTGACCAGGTGTAGTCACAGCCAGCCGCAAAAGCTGTGCGAAGGTGTCGGCCCCTGCAAAGCCCACAAAGTGCCCCGCGGCAACCTGCATCGCTTTCCCAGGCACTCCCCTGGCCCTCCTGCGGCTAAACCCCAACCAGGGGAGAAGCGCAAAGAGGGCCAGGAAGCGCATGGCGCTGAAGAGGCTCCCCACGAGGTCGTGGTGTTGCGTACTCAGCTTCCACATCTTTTTCATGGCCATGAAAGCCAAAACCGTAGAAAGCAAAGAGCCGGATTTCAGCATCAGGTGCCTGGTAGAATGTTGAAACCTGCTGTTTAGCATGTAAAACAAAACACATGAGAAGCCCAGCATGCCCAGAAGTATGAGACCGTTTGCCAAATGGGCCTTCCGCATCATTTTGGAGGAAAGGCTGTTGAATTTCTGGTCTGCCTGGGACAGGGCGACCGCCCCGGGCCGATTACTCCAGCCTTTTCTTGCCAATCCGTGATGCGAATGTTGCTTGGAAGATTGGCTGATGAGCTTTCTAAGCCTTTGGCTTCCGACTCCCAGCTGAGCGTCGCGAATCTCTGGGGCGACTGCAGCTGCATGCACGCAGATCAGTAGAATGACCGTAAGCCCAAAGCGAGACATCCCAGCTAAGCCCACATGAAGCCCAACTGTCGTAAGCACCACGAATTCGCTCACATTGCTACTGCGAATTTGCAAACCACACAGATCTGGACAGAGCCAAAACGGCCACCATCGTCTTGCCCGGTCATGCGAGTCACAGCTGGGCGAAGCGACTACAAAAGGGCTTTGGCTGCAGAGGTCCTTCTGGAACCACGATATTGTTCACATCCACCTCGCGCGGCTTGCGCGGCTTCTGCGGGGCACTCGTGCCAATGCCTGGTGAACGGAGCTGTACACAAATGTTGATAGTGGGCTGTATAAGTGATGTCAGCACGTCCTTCGAATGTATGAATTAACATCATTCGCCTCACGTATCGTGCGAACAGCCGGCGCTCATGTTGATGCGATTGTATTCTCCCGTGTAGTAAGAACCACATAGACTTCTCTACGATGGCTATCGCTACCACGATTTCACTTGGTGCTGCTGCTTCTGCCAATACCGCTGCCACAGGAGCACCCACCATGACGATGCAGAGTACTTATGTTTTCAATGACTGTGGCAGTGCCAGTGGCAGTCGCAGTAGCAGTAGGAGTAGTAATAGTAGCAGTAGTAGCAGTCGTCGTCGTCATAGTGGTAGTAGCATTGGCACTGGCTGAGGCAGTGGCGGTGGCAGTGGCAGTCGCAGAAGCAGCAGGAGTAGCAGGAGTAGCAGTAGTAGTAGTAGTAGTAGTAGTAGTAGTAGTAGTAGCAGTAGTAGGAGCAGCAGCAGCAGCAGTACTGGTAGTAGTAATGGAAGTAGTCAGTAGTGGTAGTAGCGGTAGGAGTGGTAGTAGTGGTAGTAATCTGTGGCAGTAGTGGTAGTAGTGGTAGTAGTGGTGGTGGTGGTGGTGGTGGTGGTGGTGGTGGTGATGGTGGTGATGGTGGTAATGGTGTCGCTGCGGGGGCGCTGAGAGTGGAAGCGGCAGTAATACACAAACAATCGTAACAGATGCACCGGCAGCAACCACGATGACAGGAACTCTCGTATGTAGCGCAATACCAGTCGCAAGAAGTGGAGGAAATTGCAAGCCATCTGGACGCTTGAGTTGCAAGTGATGTAGGAACCTGATTACGAAACCTTGGGCATTTATTCGGGTTCCTTTTATGAATCCTACAATTTGGGGGTTATAGGCCCAGGGTTCCTTGATCAGGTTCCTACATTATTATAGTACCCTTATAGCTCCCTCATAGTAACCCTTATAGACACCTTTAAAGGAGCCCCTTTTTAAGGCCCCGGGTTTCATAGGCTCTTGGGGCGGCCGAAAGGCTCGACTCTGGGCGGTTGGCCTGAGGTGTCGGGTCCTGAGCCGCAAAGGTTTTACTGTAGGGGGTAGGGTTTAGGGTGTAGGGTTTAGGCCGCAAAGTTGAGGGACTGAGGCTCAGGTTTGCCACATTGCATCAACACTTCGGGGTCAGGGAGGTCACGCGTTGTGAGCAGAGGGGAGAGATGAAGACGTCGTCCTGTCGGGGTTTTGGCTTCATGCTTTCGAGCCTGTTGATTTTGTTACTCAGATCGCCAATGCCAGCTTGCATGTGAAACCCTTAGCCTTAATCTGAGTTCCCTCATTAAAGCCATGCTAAGCCACAAGCGTGAAGTGGGAGACTGGATGTGCATGCTGAGCTGGGTTTCTTCGAAACCTGAAGACGGTGCTCCCCCTGCAAGTCAAATTTCCAAGATCTCCGGCAAGTCCGAACAACTTTCTTGCTTCGGACAATGATGGTGGGGATGATGATGGTGATGCTAATGATGGTGGTGGTGGTGGTGGTGGTGATGACGATTGATAATGACCATCAAGTTCATGACAGGTCATGATCATGATGATGATCATCATGTCAACTCATGCAAACGACGACGAGTGTTCTTGTGGTATTAGCAATCGTATTCAAATCCGGTGCAGGATTGGGCTTCTATCATGCTCGTCTCTCGTGTTTTACCATCACTGAGGGGGTCTTCCCTCAAGAAGGCTTGACATCTCTTTGGGTCTAAGGCTGTTCTCGGATATATCTTCGTGTAGGGTTTAGGGTTAGGTTTCAGGATTTAAGGTTCGAGGGATTGGGCTCAAGATTTTCAGATTTGGGTTGAAAAGACAGGGAGGAGGGGGGGGGGGGTTAAAACCTAAACCCTAAACCCTAACCCTACAAGTGGGGTCGATGAGCCTCTGTGCTTCGGGTCTACTAGGGGTCAGGTCAGGCCACTGCTTTCACGGCTGCAGATGCTGGCGATGCAGAATAAGCCGGCGCCGCCGGCTCCTGCGAGTCTGGCAGCAGTTTGAGTAACATGGGGGCCTGGATAGTTGGAACGGGGTTCTGGGGTGCATTATACTACGATTGCATCAAGAACCCTAAGGAACCCAATTCTGATGAGGAAGGGAAGCATAGGAACTCAAAATTCTTTGCAGTCTTGTTTGAAGGTGTTTCCAGGTTCGGCTTTTTGGAGTTTCCGATACTTGACCTCTTTATTCCAAATCCCTCCCTGGGATCATAGCAACCCCAGGATGGCGCAGCCAACAGACACGGGATCCTAGCCATTGAGCTGTACTGTAGTAGGGGCCTTAATAATTAGAATAGGGTTTTGGGGCCCGTTATACTATAATTATAATATGGAGCCCCCAAAATAGTATTGGTAACTATCAAGGCCCCTACAGTAGAAGCTGCAAAGTCAATCCCCAACCTAGTCCACACCAGCGCAGCCATCAGATGATCATGCCTCTTCACGGCGTTTACCACGCCTATTTACTAGGCTTCTTTTCTGTGGCGACGAAGACGGCCACTATGACTGCCTGCCACTAACACTACCTGATGCCACTGCCATCGTCCTGTGAGGTTCCGCAGCCCATGGCGGAGATCGGCTCCCAGCACAAGCTCAAGCGGGGGGCTCTGATAAGATGTTGCCTTCCAGTATGTGTGCAGTTTCTTGAGCATGGGGAATACTAACAATCCTACAGCTTTGCCGATTATTCCGGGTGGGTTCGTGTGTCGACATAGGACTGAAGAAGAGCCGATAAGCAGGATGCATTGGGCATGCCCATTGGAATCGGCCCTGCTCGCGAAGGACAGCTCAAGCTTGATAATTTTTGAAGGATCAAGTAAACTGCGAGGCCTTACCCAAAACCCTAAACCCTATACCCTAAACCCTATACCCTAAACCCTATACCCTAAACCCTGAACCCTATGCCCTAAACCCCAAACCCTAGGCCAAAAAGCTCTGAAGCATGCGAAGCTCCGAGGATGCTTAATCATGCAGAAACGAATCTCCTAAACCCTAAAACTCCGGTACCCGATAATGTAGGAACCTGACTAAGAAACCTTGGGCCTTTATTAAGCTTCCTTATATGAATCCGGGTTATGGGCGGAGGGTTTCTTAATCAGTTTCCTACAGTAGCCGTGGATGATTCAAGCCGAAAAGGCCAAAGAGCTTTAAAGCTGTCTTGACCGAAACCCGCATTCAGTGTGCATGAGCCCTAAAACCCCAATAAGACTCGAATGTAATGTAGGGGCCTTCTTAAACAATTGGAATAGGGTGTTGGGCCCATAATATTATACTTATGATAAGGAATCCCCAAATAGTATTTAATAACTGTTTAGGACCCTATAGCATGCTTTGCATAAAACTTAACAGCACGGAGAACGCCCGGGCCAAACGATATGTGGGCTTTAGGGCTTAGGGTTGAGAGGGGTAGGGCTGAGGGGGGTTTAGGGTGCAGAGCTCATGGTTTCGCATGCCGTCATAGTTTGCGAGGGCCAAACATTCAAATTGTCGTTGGTAGCAGTTCTTAAGCCCTTCGAAGCATGACTGCCCACTCCCGCAGAATCAAACCCTGAAGATTCAGCCCAAAACCGAGATCAAGCAGAGCTGGTGACCAGCTGTAGAGACAAAACTATTTTAGCCTCGATCAGGACACGGGTTTCAGGTTCAGGATCTAATCAGAGTTCTCAGGGTTGTTTCTCATGCATTGTAGAGCCTCAGGGGCTTGCAGACACATGGGTAGTTGTCAAAATCGTGGCTCCCTTTTGGGTACCCTAAATATTAGGTGCCGTATTATATTAAGGACCCCAAAAAGGACCATAATTTTGACAACCACCCACATGATTGGGACACCTGGGCCTTAGAGAAGTAATGCTGCTCATGCGGCTTGTGCTAGATACTCATGCGCTCCGCCAAGCAGTCATGCATGCACACTAACGCATAAGAAAGAAGCCTGGAACACAAACCCTGAAACCCCAAATGCGTACCATTACGCTGGAAACTCGGAGCCCTAAACGCCCGACAACCCTGAACTATAAACCAAACAAACCAAAGCCCAGAACTCACAAGTACACTCTGGACTTTGAGACAGGATATCCGGCCAAGCGGGTCTTGAACCCGTCACGCTTGGCAGGCCTAAACTCCAAACCCCACATGAAGGACAAACCCTAGAATTACGAAACACTTAGTCACTAAACACTGAAGCCTCAGATCCTCAAATTCGAGCCCGAAAAGCCGGCAAGCCCCAAAACTTTAAAACCCCCATTTCAAACCCCAAAGCACCCTTCTAGAACCCTCATAAAGCCTAAAATCTCCTAAAAGCCTAAACCTAAAAGCCCTAAAAGCCCTAAAAGCCCTAAAAGCCCTAAAAGCCCTAAAAGCCCTAAAAGCCCTAAACCCTAAAAGCCTAAACCCTTTCACGGCGGCGCCGACAAGCAAACCTTGGGAACGCACGGGCTGAACTCTAAGCAGGCCAGGACCTGGTGGTGCGGTCGAACAAAGGGTTCCTTTAAAGGGTATTACTATATAGAGGTTCCTTGAAGGGATCTATAGGGTTTTAGGGTTCCTTTAAAGGGTATTATAGAGGTTCCTTGAAGGGATCTATAGGGTTTTAGGGATCCTTTAAAGGGTATTATAGAGGTTCCTTGAAGGGATCTATAGGGTTTTAGGGTTCCTTTAAAGGGTATTATAGGGGTTCCTTGAAGGGATCTATAGGGTTTTTAGGGTTCCTTTAAA